GCTGGCCTAGCAGGCTGAACCTCAATAGCAACACCTACCGCACTCTACCCCCAGAGCTTTATCACAAGACGTCACTCACTTCCTTCATACCACTTACCCCAATCTGAAAATAAATGCCTTGCTCGGTCTTTACAAACTTCCTGTCTGTGTCCACACACACGAGAACATATGCAAGAGAAGAGTGGACATCTTCACGTTTTGTCATCTTCAGTGCCTAAAACAGTGCCTGGTGGGTGAAATGTGTTCAAGAAATACTTTTAAAATGAATGGAATGGGTATTTTAATCATAAAAGGGACTAAGAGCCAGAGTATATCCGTAAACTAAAGCTTACTGGCCACTTATGTCTTCAAAGACAGAAATACTGTCCCTTTCTTCCTCCCACAATGCAAATAAATCTTAAACCATCCTTCCTTCCTTTCTTTATTCTACAACCTTCTATCAACAAGTGTGTATTTATTTCATGCTTACTACGAGGCACATGTATCATTAAGCATTTTTTAAAAGACTTATTTCTTTGAGAGAGAAAGAAAGAGAGAGCATGCAGGGGAGAGGAGCAGAAGGATATGGAGAGAAAAATTCAAGCAGACTCTATGCTGAGAGCGGAGCCTAACACAGGGCTCACAAGCTCAGGACCCTGAGATCATGACCTGAGCTGAAACTAACAGAAGGATGCTTAACCGACTGTACCACCGAGGTGCCCCTCATTTAGCATTTTTTTAAAAGAGAGAACTGAGGGGCGCCTGACTGGCACAGTCAGTTAAACGTCTGACTCTTGGTTTCGGTTCAGGTCATAACCTCAGGGTCGTGAGATCGAGCCCCACACAGGGGAACATGCTCTGTCTCTCTGTCTCTCTCTCTCTCTCTCTGCCCCTGTCCCTCGTGTTCTTTCTCTCTCTCAAATAATCAATCTTTATTTCAAAAAAAAGAGAGAAATGAAATATATTTGCTCATGTTCCAATATCAATCCACATGTTTAGAATGGTGTTGAATGGAAATGAGCTTTATTCCCCCACACCATTCACCTAAGCTGCAGCCTCAGGCTGCCCTGGCCCAGGAGCGAAGTCACAAACAGCCCCCAAGCTCTGCAACAACTGAGCTCTGCAGCTCACGAGACTGTCCAGAACCACTCTCAGGAGTTCACCTGCTCCTGCCCTAAGGGAAAGGGCCCTGTTATGAGAAGAAGTGGGAGGGATGCCCTAGGAAATCAGGCTGTGGACAGCGTGGGAGGGCAAATGCCCAGCAGCGTGCACCAAAGAAAGAATGGGCTTCGGTCTGAACCCACATGAGTTGCCTTCATGCCGTACTCTCCTCTCCCTCCTTGCAGCAGGAGTGAAATCAGAGTTTAAATAGAGTCTTCTAGGGGGGTTAGTAGGGATAATAGATGTAAGAGGAGGTAAGTAAACAGTCAAACCTTTAAATAGTATTAAAAACTCATCTGCATTTTGGCTTTTCTCTGCCTTTTTCCCTGGAGCACCCCCACTGCACTCAGACATCCAGGCCTCGTCTCCAGAAGCTGTCTGTCTTGCCAGGGTGGGTGGGGGGACTCACTCGACTTTCGTCGAAAGCACCAGTGACATCGTCAGCAATAACAAGACTGTGCCAATTCAACTAGGAAGGGTGACTTCCTTAAGAGTTGATCCAAAAACAACTGATAAAGAAAGCATGTCTTTTATAGACTTATTCTCTGTCATCTATGTGTCTAATTCAGATGAATTAACTAATTGGTTTGAAGGGACAACTACTTGAATTAAATGCCTTTTTTCACATAGAGACTCTACAATGAGATTTTGTGTTTCTCATTATAAAAAGATCCTATGAAACAAGATGACACACATCAGAGAAACATGGGCTGATTTAAAAAGCCATTTAAGGGGCGCCTGGGTGGCTCAGTCGGTTAAGCATCTGCCTTCAGCTCAGGTCATGATCCCAGCGTCCTGGGATCCAGCCCTGCATAGAGCCCTGCATCAGGCTCCGTGCTCAGCAGGGAACCTACTTCTCCCTCTCCCTCTGCCTGTCTGCCTACTTGTGATCTCTCTCTCTGTCAAATAAATAAATAAAATCTTTTTTGAAAAAGCCATTTAAAACATGGCTTTTAGCAAAAGATAAAGATTTAAATAAAAATGAGTTAAAATCCAGGCTGTACAATTAGTCATAACCAATCATATTCAATGTTACTTAATCTCTCTGATAATTTTGTTAATCTTAAAAAAAAAAAAACGAAATACACTGACTGGTAAATATATCTCAGTGGTTTTGAAGTATTTGTAGAAATTAATTAAGCTCAACAGAATGACTTACAAGCAAAGGATCAATAAATAATACATAAATAGCTATAAACAATGGAAGTGCTCAAAAACAGATATAATTTATGATGGATACAAAACTATGAGGTGCCTAGGCATACATTTTACTAAATGTAATTAAAGGAAAAAATTACAAGACTTTAACTGAAAAATGTGAAAGAACATTCGAATAAATGCAGATATATTGTATTCATGGATGAGATAGATAAATATCCTAAAGAAAACAATTTTCCCCCAAAGTTAATCCATAAATTAGTTCAATGTCAATTAAGATCCTAACAGGATTTGACAAGCTGATGCTAAAATACATATAAATGGTAGAGTATGGACTAGGCAGGATGATTTTGATGAAGAAAAAGAAGACAGGTCCCTCCTACTAGGTATCCAGTTTTGTTACCAACTTGGGTAAATGTCCGAAGCTGTATGATAAGGAACAAAACGAAGAGCCACACAGATGCCTATATTTGAGAAAATTTGACTCCTGGCAGAGGTGGGAAGATGGGCAATGAATTGTCGATAAATGGTGCTAGGACAAAAAAGATAAAATTAGATCCCTACCTAATACACACACACATTTTCAAACTGGATTAATGACCTATATAAAAATTGAGACTTTCTAGCTTTTGAAAGAAAACACAAGAGACTATGTTTCTGACAGATGGCTAGAGAAAGTGCATTTAAACAAGACATGGGAAGCCCAAGCGACAAGGGAAAAAAATGATCAATGTGATCAAATTAAAATGGTTTTTTAACTTCTTTTTGACAATAGATACCATTGAAAAGTTAACAAACAGCTATGGACTGAGTGGAGATATATAAAATAAGAACTTGTGTCCATATCCTATGAAGAACTCCTATCCATCAATGAGAGTTCAGCACTCCCCTCCCACTGCTGGACAGAGACTGGACAGGCAGTTTGTAAAAGGTAAAGTCCTAAGAGAAAGCAACATAAGAATTATGTTCAGCTTTTGGCAGTTAGGGAAACATTAATGAAAACCACAAGAAGCCGCGTGGCACCCCCATCCACGTGGCTAACATCAGGCAAGACCGTGACAGCAAGCGCTGGTTAGGACAAAGAGAGTAGGAACTCTACATTATGGGTGGCAGTAGGATGGTTGAAAGCAGTTGGGCAATTCCTGAGAAGGGTGAAGATGGGCCTCTAACCCAAGGGCTTTCTACACTGTCTTCTGGGAAACCTTGAAATGAGGTCGCGTGAATACACGTACAAGGATATTCATTACCGTACTATTTGTGATACCAACATTGGGGAAACAACGGCTTCCCAACTGGGTTTTATTCATGCCATGGGATATTATACATAATTCCTCTCAAAAATACAACTTTGGTTGAAAACCTTAAATTGCAAAATGTTACCTACGGTATGACAGCAATAACTCAAATTTAAAATGCGAAACAATTCTCTATATTATTCATGAAAACATAAATATGTAGAAAACCTATAAAACATGCATGAGAATAACATACATCAATTTCAGGCGAGTATTTACCTCTGGGGAGGGAGGAATAGCAAGAGGAACAGGAAAAATGACAGAGTAGGGCTTAAGCCAGACCAGCACTTTTTTTTTTAAAGATAATCTGAAGCAATAGGCAAGCTATGAATATCTATTAACATCTAGATGGCTGGGTGTATGGATGTCAGTTACATCATTTCCTGTGCTTTTTTGGTGTGTTTGAGATACTGCATGATTATAAAGTTTTTAAATTACCATTTAAATGAATTCTGCTAAACAACAGTATCACTAGAGCAAAACTCATCTGTCTGAATCAAAAGTAGTGACTGCATTTCTCACATCTTTGCATTACTTTGTAATGAGGGGATAATTAAGGATCAACATATATTTAAAAACGATGTGCTGACTATAAATTAGCCTTGCACAATCCTGCTCTTCTTTTCCCTGCCAACAGTTACATTCTTAAAACAACCAAAATGCAGTCTTTTTAAAAAAGCGCCTATTAGTCAAGCCAGTGGTTTTCAAATAATGAAATCCTTTTGTTCTAGAAAGGGAGGAAAAAAAAAAAAATCCCTCAGATGATGCCTCAGAAGCTAAAATAGACAAAGAGGTATTGTGTTAATATTAACATGTTTTATGAGCTTAGATTTGTAAGTGTATATTTTATTAAGATAATCAATAGGAAGAAGGAGGATTTTTTATTAACATAAAAATTCAATATCTGGTATTGTGGATGATTATTACAATAATATAACAAGCTCCCACATTCAATTTACTTTGTGTTTTGTTATCTTATTCAATATGGAGAAAATCTGGATATATTCACACAGTGTACTAGTTTTCGACTGCTGCCTAACAAATTACCACAAATTTAGGAGCTTAACACAACACAAATGTATGATGTCACAGTTTCTGTGGGTCAGGAATCGAGCACATTTTAGCTGGGTCCTTTACTTGCGGGGGGTCTTACTGGGCTGAAATCGAGGTGTTGGCTGGCTGAATCCTAATTTGCAACGCAGAGGCCTCTTCCAAGTTCATTCCAGTTGTTGGTGAATTTATTTCCTTGTAGTGGTATGACTAAGATCCCTCTCCCCCCCATTTTTTAGCTAGCTGTTGACCAGGAACCACGCTCAGCAGTTAGTTTAGCTCTCATATCCTTACCCTGGAGCCTTCTCCACAACATGACAACCTGCTCCTTTTCAAGGCCAACAGGAGAGCATCTTTGTAATGCTTTAGCTTCTTTTAAAGGTCCCATCTGATTAGGCCAGGCCCACGAAGATAATCGTCCTTTTGATTAAGCCAAAGTCAAATGATTAAGGACTTTAATTGCATCTGCAAATCCCTTGGACCATACAGTGTAATAGAATCACAGAAGTGACATCCCATCGTATTCCCAGGTCCAGACTGCACTCAAAAGAGACAGAGTTCTACTGGGTATGCAACACTAAGTGGTGGGTATCTTGGGTGCCACCTCAGATCCTGCCAACCACACACACGTACGTACCTGTCAGCGGTCACTGTTTCTGAAAGCCTACCTTGAAATCTCAGGAGTTTCTCCAGATGCTTGGAAAAGATACAATGGGACACTTTTTCTTTCAAATCTATATACCTAACATCTAATCTCAACTCTCATTCATTCCTGATAAATATTCAAAGTCAGACAAAAAATATTCAAAACTCACAGAAAGGCATGGAATAAAATTGGATTTTCACCTGTTACTGGACACCAGCCATGCTCCTAAGCCAATATATCTTAACTACCTGGATCTTCTGTGAGCCAGCCCTACACTTGCTTAATGATTTGGCTTGAATGGATAGAGTCATGCCTGATTTAAAGAAAAACAGCACAAACTCCCCAAAGACACGTTTATAAGAAGTGTAAATATATGCCCAGGGATGGAGGAAATGAAATGCTTCCTACGGAGGTCTTTTTAAAGTCAACTTAACCTGGCACCTTAAATTAATAATGATGAAGCTATTATTACAGTTTATGTTGATTCTTTCACTCATGCTTAAATAGCTCAAAATAATATTTTAAAAGGCTATATAAATCAAATACATCTGCAATTCCTAAACCACCTCTGAAAACCCCTAAAATGGAAGATCTTGGTTTCAGTTCCAAAATTGATACTCAGGGGGCACCTGGGTGGCTCAGTCCTTAAGCGTCTGCCTTTGGCTTAGGTCATGATCCCAGGGTCCTGGGATCGAGCCCCGCATTGGGCTCCCTGCTCAGCAGGAAGCCTGCTTCTCCCTCTCCCACTCCCCCTGCTTGTGTTCCCTTTCTCGCTGTGTCTCTCTCTGTCAAATAAATAAATAAAATCTTTAAAAAACAAAAAAACAAAATTGATACTCAGAAGCTGTGTAACCTAAAGCCCCAAAGCCCCTAAGACCTCTGTGTGCTTCAATGAAATCACCCATTGAAGTGGCTGCCGCCTAGAGGGTCCTTAATAAATGGACTGCATAAGCAGGATCACCCAGTTTAACTCATCGTTAAACTTTTATTTTGTAACGGAAGAGTGAAATAATTACAAAAAGACTGAGTTTAAAGAATGGACACGTTAGCATTGTTTTAAAAATGAAAAGGGAGGGAAAGGAAGAGGAAAAAAGGCAATTAAAAAGTCCAAACAAAAAGAACTGATTTTAAAATTGAGTATTTCAACCATGAAGGAAGTTTGACAAATAAATAGAAAATATGACTCACTGAGGGATGACCATGGACTGGGCACCTTGTATATTGTCTTGCTGGCATTAGCATTTTAATTGTCATTGTACAATGTAAAGGACAGAGTATATTCACTAACAACATGTTAAGATGTCCACTATGTATTAGGTTAAAACACAAATTGTGAAAGAATGTGTAAGCTATGATCTCATTTTACAAAAACAAATACGCACCCAAACTCATACTACGTTTGAAGTATGTATATTAAAATGTCAGTTTTTACTGCGTAACAGGATTGTGATCATTTGAACAGTTTTTACTCTTCTTTTCTTCTAATGTCTCAAAAGTGCTTACTCTACGTAAATTTTTTAAATGAAATTTGATACTTCCTATCGGTCTGCTGAGAAGCAGCAAATAATGGAAAAGGGACTATTTTATGTAAGTTGTATTAAATTAGTAAAGTGGCATCTTGTTATTTTTTTATATCTAAAAATCTAAACCTAACTAACAGGGCATGTGAGTCTGAAGGTGCAAGAGAGAGGGCATCTGAACACAGAGGAATAGAAAGAAAAGTAGATGAACAGAGATCAGGAAGAGACTTTTTTTTAAAGATGACTAATAGGGGCACCTAGGTGGCTCAGTCAGTTAAGCGTCTGCCTTCAGCTCAGGTCATGATCCTGAGGTCCTGGGATTGAGTCCTGCATTGGGCTCCCTGCTCAGCTGGGAGTCTGCTTCTCCCTTTCCCTCTGCTCCTCCGCCAACCTCACGTGCTCTCTCTCTCTCACTTGCTCTCTCTCAAGTAAATAAGTAAAATCTTAAAAAAATAAAATAAAATAAAAGATAGCTAGCAACATAAAGATGTTACTATGGAAAGATGGAGTGAAAGAAAAATGAAGTTACAGACAGAAAGACAGAAAGGAAAAAATAAGCGGGAAGAAACAGGGTCACAGGAGAAAAACAAACATCAGAGAGCAGAGAAAGAATGGCAAAAGAGAAGAAATACATTTTAAACAATCATAATGCAAGAGGAAGTTATCCCTTCCTATTCATCTCTTAATGAAATGGAAAATCTTAAATAAGATCACAAAATGAATCATTTTTAAAGTTATTTTTTGGTTTTTGTTACTTTTCTCCTCATAGGAGTGAGAAATGACGCGTGTGCTTGATAGCCAAGATTAACTTGACCTACACCAGTCTCAGAGACTGGACAGGACTGCAACCAATCCACCAGGTGTCTTTCAGATCTTTCTCTTTGTCTACAGCACCAAGTTCAAGACTATCTTTGAAAAGTGAAGAGTAGTTAGTTACCAATTTACAAGTGCAGCTGATGTAACAAAGCTCTCTCTTTTATTTTTTAACTTTAAACTTTAGGTATGGTAAAGGAAGTGAACCGATATCCCCCAAAATTGTACTCAAAAGAAGAAGCTGTAACTATCAAAGTGCCTAATGGATTCCCTCTAAATTCCTGTGAACACTTCCTCAGTTTACACAATCACTGTGCCCCCTGCTCCCCACTCTCAAGAAAGAGAAGCGATAGATCTTTCCTCCTCCTGTCCTTCATCAATGTGAAAATCGTCTCATTGCTGCTCTATGTTTTACTAATGTAAAATTTCTTCTACTTTTCTTACTTTATGTTTTCTTCTTCCTCTTAGCTTAAGGAGTTGAAATCTAGCAAAAGTGAAAAGGTAGAGTTTGATCTTTGAATAACTTCTGGAAAGTAGTAAACCTATCTGAACCCTCTTTCCTGAAAGAGAAAGGTAAAAAGATGTTGCGTGCAAGTGGCTTAATTAAAAAGCCCCAAAGTTCTTTGCCAATCCTCCCATAGAGAGGAAGATCCCCTGCCCTCTCCCCTGGAATCCGGGCAGGTTTGTGACAGCTTCAAGCAGTCGAGTAGAGCAGAAGATTCCGGAGCACTTTTAAGGCTCGATCACAAAAAGCCATGCAGCTTCTGCTTGGCTCTCTTGAAACACTGGCTCTTAGAAAGTGCCCTCTCAGGGAGCTTCCCAGAACACTGGCGCATGCTGTGAGGAAGCCCAAGCCACATGCAAAGGCCACATGTAGGCACTCCCGTTTACAGTCCCAGCTGAGCTGAGCCTTTGAGTCATCCCAGTCCAGAGGACAGACATACCACTGCTGAAGCTTCCAAATGATTCCATCTGCCAGATATCTGTGTCTTTCCAAATGAGACTCCAGACATCATCATGCAATGGCAAGGCATCATCCCTGCTTTGCCAAGTCCAAATCCCTGACCCAGAGCATCAATGAGTATAACTAATCGTTTCCACTGATAATGGGGTTTTGTTTTATGTTTCTAAGTTTAGGGTGTTTTTTGATGCAACAGTAGATAATTGGAGCAATGGAGATTAAAAAGAAATGATCACACAGCAGTTAGTACCATAAAATAACTGTGATCACAGTGGAAAGAGTGGGCAACCTAGAACCTCCATGTCACCCACTGTCAGCCTGAAAACAGCTGCAAGCAGGTGGAGGTTAAGATCTCTTTCCTCTGCTCTCTCCCCGGTCTGTCTACCTAACTTTCTTTCTTTTTTTATTTCTCTTTTTTCTTTTGATCTTTGTTCATACCTACCCCTTAAGTCTGCCCTTGGGTCACTGATTTACTGTTGTAGAGGGTATTCATTTTTCATGAAACAAATATTTATTGAGCATTCTTCTAGATATTAGGATAACAAAGGTGAGGAAATCTAACTCTGTCCTTGACCTTGTAATAAAATGTTTTTCAAACTGTGGATCACAACCATTAATAATCACAAAATCATCCTGATGGGTCCTAGCAAACACTTCAAAAATAAAAATAATACAGAAAATAACAGACTAAAACTAACAACAAAAAAGGATTTCCAAGTAGCATAGTGAGTTATAGTTTCATGAATCCTTCATCCTGACACGAACACATGATGTCTGTATTGTGTTTCCATCCTAAAACTTTGAGAAACATAGTCTAATAGCTAGACAAAAATAAATCTCATTTCTGAAGTATAAAACACATGAATGAGATTGTGTTTAGGAAATGTGCAATTAAGTTGTTGGCTTTGGAACACGCTGTAAGAGTCACAGAATCATTCTCCTCTACTAATAACGGGTTTTGTTTTTTACTGTTGGTAGCTTTGTTTAGAAGGAGTGTTCTAGTGTTTCTACGGCCATCTTTGGTGAACAAGTGCCTGCCTTCAGAGTGTGTCACTCATTCTGTATCTGAGCATTTCACAGTTAAATGTTTGAGTACTTGAGTCAATCTATTCATTGGTTTAATAGCTGAATTAGAGAACATGGAATTATCATGACCTCTGGCATTTATCTTTGCCTGCAATTCTAGAAGCAGTCATATCTTACCAAACCCAAGCTAGGGAGCTTAAGCAAAAAAAAAAAAAAGTTAGCTGCCTGTGTAATCAATATGATAGCCTCTATCCAACAGTCAGTGGTAAACATTAAATAACACGTCATAAAACCACTGAATCTGAGTAATACTGATGGCAGTCAGTACCTCCTCTCTCCTGCACCCTCTCATTTATGTTACTCAACTTAGACTGGCTTTTTTTTCCCCATCATCCTGAAATAAGTATATATTCTTCCAAGTCTTCCCAAGAGGAAAAGCACCAAATGATTCAAA